CTTTTACCACAATTCTAATATACCCCAATACTCATTTTGAGTATCGGGTATAAAAAGTAATCTCCACTGGCTAATAAGCGTTCGCTCTTCCCTAATCTCTGACTATAATGTCCTCATGTACAACTCCGTGCTGAAATTTATCTAGACTTATGGCTCCGACCAACGTCGACATTACCCAGCAAGCACAGTTGTGAATCCGAAGAACCATTACTCTGGCATGGTATCTCCGTAAGGAGAATATTAAACTCGTTAAAGATGAGATACTAGGACAAAAGGCAAAACCAAAAAGCAAAGCTCGCTTCCTATCCAAATCCCCAGATCGCTACTTCAAGTTTTACAACAAACCTTTAACAACATCAGATGTTTTTTGCACGTAGCAATGTGCAAATAAAAAGAAAATTGAGCCCACCAGCAACTACGAAAAATAGCGCATCCAAAATAGAAAACTGAAAAAGCTGAAAATGCCGTTCCACCTTGGTAAACCGTATGGGTACGGCTTACCAGAGTAGCTTTCCTGGTTGTTGGTAGGTAGTTTAGGAAAATTGGGCAAAGAGATCGGCCATTGCGTGATCATTATTTGAAGATAGCAAGGATGGGTGTGCGGACGTTCTAGACTTTCTGTTTACGAAGCTGTAAAACTGTTTAGGGTCTTGAGAAAAACGTATAAAATACACTTGTAACAGTGCGATATCACAGGAGTCCGGATACAAAATGTGTTTGCTCCAGCTCTTATAGTCTCTGAGATCTAGGCGCTCATTCGAACGGACGTACGAACAGACAAGCGGACAGACAGACATACGAAGCGATAGAGCGCATCGGCTTTTGATGCTGATCAAGAATATATATACTTTATAGTGGGGTCGGAAACTTTTTCTTCTGGCTGTTACAAACATTCACTTTCACTAAAAATAGAATGTTGAGAGACACTTCGAAAGTAGGATGGTAAGCTTCTTCAGGTATACTGAGTGGAAACGCTCGGGTTTACAAAACTATAGTCGGAAAACAAGGATTTTTTGACATGATTGACTTGAGACAGGGACAAGTCGTCAACAAAGTCATGTCGTGACATGGGAACTAGGTGACTAGACTCGTTTACCTAAGACCAAACAGATTCTGGCAAGTTGAAAACACCAAGAACTATCTTTATCTCATGGCGAGGAAAAAAAGTTTTTAAAGCTTTTCGTAAATTAAAATATCCGAAGAAGGTGGAATCAAGTAATGACGATAGCAAAGGCGAAAATAATCAGTTTTACACACAGGAATTCCAGCTCTTGTTGAACCTCGACTGTGAAATATTCCGACGTGTTGTTCTACTCCAATGATCAGAACCCCACGTCGATACCGACCTGAAAAAACTTCGGATCTAAGAATGTTTGCTTTTAACCAGGTCTCGGTAAACACAATAACATGGGATGAAAATGCGGCACTATCCCGAAAAAGAGTGCTGGCTTACTGTGTAAGCCTTTAAAATACTGATAGGTTACTACAAGAGGAGAAGATCGATTTTTTGGACGAGTGGAAGTATGGAATATAAGAATGTCACGTTGGGCTGATTTTGACTAGTGAGCGCTATGGAGACAACGAGTTGGGGAGGCGCTTATCTTAAAGAAAGTTATCTCCCTGGCATAAGAGAAGTTCAACTTCTCCACCTTTAAGCCGACGGCTTTTATTTTGCTATGTATAAAACCAGGTACGGCATTAGATGTGCGGTCAGTGGCCACCGTTCGACGAAAATGAACTTGATAATGAAAACATTACATTTCCAAAACTGTAAGATTAAACTAAAATGTTTGTATGGTCAAGAGGCATTAGCTTTTCTAAATTATAAAGTTATTTAAAAGTAGGCTTAACATACCAGAGTATGTGTGAGAGTGGGGTTGGCGCACGAGCGAAGCGATTCCGTAGAGGATTACGTGCCCATAATATAATATAATTAATTATTAAATAATTAATAATTATAATATAATTAATACTTAATATAATAATAACCAAGAAATTTTAAAACAATGGATATATTTATGTTGTAAGAGATTTAGTTGCAAATAAAAGATCAAGCGGATGATATAACGGGTCAGGGTGACCAACAGCTACAAATAATATTGCAAGTGAAGGATCAGATATATGATCAGACAATAAACTCCAGGAAAACTTCTTGGAAGCTCGTCGAGACGAGATTAAAGAAGTGGAAAATTGTAATCGAAAACCGGAGAATTGGAAAATCGTCTGGATTATGCAAGAGTAAATGGAAATGGGTATTCCTGTCATAGCTATCTAAATATCCGAAGTTCGCTACTGCTATTTATGATGGCTGTGTCTGGCATTCAATTATATTTTCTAGAGGATACCAGATAAAAGCTTTTTTCCACGGTATGTGAGATCGGAAAACGCGCTTCACTATGGTTTTTATGCCCATCACTCTTTATATGCCGTCCATCGCCTAAAGAGCATACTCTACAGGCTGAGGTTATCGAATGTTATTAATTAAATAATTAATTCAATGGAAGTTGCTTCGTTTATCATAAAGTAGGAAATGCGGCGAGTATTCCGGGAGTGGAAATCATTACCAGGATGAATAATTTGAAACTAGGTACTCTCGAGGTACACTTGTTTTAAAATCTTACCATTCGAGACATGGTGTGCCGACATTAGACACATTTATTTCTCATTCAGAGGCGATTGGGAAAGAGAAATGTGGAGACATTGAATGGGATGCGATTATAAAGGAATTCAAAATATTTTGATGAAGAAACCTCCTTTTAACACATTAGAAGAGAAGAAACTAAGTTCGTGAGGATAGGAAAACTGATCTGACGTTGCGATCGTTATGCTTTTTTAAAAGGCAGAAACGAGGGGCCGCGGGTAAATTTAACCGCTCGACTAAGAAGCACCATTCAAGAGTGGCAGCTGTAATACTTGGAATCGATACAAGACATCTAGTTCCATTGAATGAAAGCATAGAGCGGTGGAATAAAGCCGCTTCCAATTTGGATATTGATAGAATAAAGGCCCAAAAAAATCTAGGAACTACACCGACTCCGATATTTCATGAATTGTTTACTTCTGCGGCATGGAGATTCCCCAAATGTTATCCGATTCGTGTACATTTTTTTTGTGTCAATAAATCAATTCCTGACAAAATTAAATACTACATATTTTGATGTCATGTTCATATATTTAATATTATATTTTCAACCATCATGTAGTAATTTGAGCAAAAGGAGGAAAAAAATGCAGTAAAATAAAAAAAAACGATTTCTTTAACATAAACAAAATTGTAACCAATAGGTTATTTCATTTTCTATAAGGCCCTAGACATTCTCTATCGGATTGAAGTCGGGGCTGTTAGATGGCCAATCTAAGGTCCCATTCCGGCTTCAAAATTGTAATCTGTCGTAGAAAAATAATCGAAACTAGTTAGAATGTATTTTCAATACCAAAACGTCATAGAATCACTGACACAGAGTGATGATGACAAGGTACAGAATATTCCTGAAAGATGGAATCTTTTTCCCTCAGCAATTGATTTCAATACTGGGCACAACAACTGGCCACTGAAAATAATTTCTTTATACTTTTTTGTATGTACCATACATTTAATCATTATTAGTGATTCAGTTGTATATTTAGATATGCATCCCCATATTTTCCCCATCAGTCCCATCCGACAAAATGTTTCGTGACCACTCAGATTCAACACAATTTTATTTTTCTTTAGTCCAATTTAAGCGAGCGTTCTTAATTTGACTATTTAGAAGTGACTTTTTCGCAAGTGTCATTGGCATTAAGCCCATCTCCTTTAGAAGGCGCTGTATAGTTCGAACTAAAATTTCTTTTGCAACCGATCCTGAGGTTTGTTTAATAATAACATGATCTTTCCTTATCCCATTAATTTGTTCTATTCTAATTTAATTTTTTTTTTTCACGTTTGATCAAAATTACCGAAAAAGCGTTACAAACGTGTGATTTAAAAAAAGTATAAAACCAATTCTCTATTTTATATTCCTAACACCAGAAATATGTTCGGTAAGAACAAAATATATTATATATTAGCATAACAGTAGAGGTTGAGTATCGGGTGTCTTGGGTGATCTACTGGCATTGGTGTGATTTTAAATACGAAGAGGTTTATTTTCTTTCTGTAGAAATATAAAATGGCAATTTACTTTAAAATCCGATAGCTCTCTTTAAAGTTATTATAAACCCCAATATTTTTTTAAGTTTAAAAGTACCAGCTGTAGATGTTAAATATAATTATAAAATAATTATATATACAGTACATCTTCATAAAGCCTATATTAACTTACGAAAATGAGTAGCCCAACACTAGTTGTAATCTCTATTCTACGTTTTTGGCAAATAAAATCAATTTTTTCCAACAAAGCAGCATTGATAATTATAATAATGTCCGCTGGATATTTATATGGGCTCCAATATTTGAATAAATTGTTATGTACTATCAAAGACTATACAATACCAAGATGTTGCATGAGCGACCAAAAAGCTGTTCTATGGCGGGTCCTAACATTAGAACCCAAAAGGCAAGAGGCAGCGCGCGGGGTTTCAATTCCCTTTTCGCCTGTACTTCGTCTCTACCGCGACCCCGCTGCCCATCGGTTTCGTCTGTTCGGCAATTCTGGACTCTCGAGCCTCAGCACCGTCGAAGCGGTGGTCGCGGATCGCCGATGTCTTTGGAGCGGCACAGTGGGACCTTTGGCCGTCTCAGCTTGCTAAATTAGTTAGTGAATATGAGTTCAATAAATATTTTCACACTGAAAAAATGAGTGCTTATATCTCCTAAACTAGAAAATTCTCTATTAGATGCGTACATTAAATTTATCTAAAGCACTCATACAATTTTTTGACTGTTTCGGCTGAGTCCCCACTGTGCCGCGCCAAAGACATCAGCGACCACGCTGCCCTACGGTTTCGGCACGCAGACTATTCATATTTTGTTTTTGTATTCTTTCTCTCGAGACACACCGACTCGACGCTGACCGAGGCATTGACGAAGCCGAGTAGCATTTCGGAGGCGAAGGTAGCGTAAAAGAGAATTAAAGTAATAGCCCCTCGCGACCGTACCATGAAGTGTCAAACGAAAACTGAAAAAGAATTTGTTCCTCATGCAACATCTTGGTATTGTATAGTCTTTGGTATTATGCAACTGTTTATGTTTTCGTTAATTTCAAGTATGATTAAATCTTGTGAGAAAATGATTTCTGTACATATACATATGGATGTATATATATGTATGTATGTACTTATTCATCTGATTGGTTGAACGTCCTGAAAAAAGAATCGCAAAAGTGAATCGTCAATAAATTAAATGTATGATTTTGTAAGTACCTAAAACATGTACAGCTTATAGTTCATCCCTATTCTGGCCTTTTTCACATGAGCATGAGTAGCTTAAACTTAGTTTTTCCATATCTGGGAGAACTTTGACTGGCGATATAAGGCGATTGCTCCATTCTTTAAATAGTGTCATGTGATAGCAATAGATGTGCTGAGGTAAAAGGTTTTCCTCAACAAACTTCCGCGCAGCTAAAGCGATCTCCTTTGCACGTATGTCGTTGTCTTTTGCCCATCTTATTTTTTCTATGATATCGCTAAGATCTCGCTTGATTGGCACATAATGTTTGTACGGCAGCAGCTTGCTATAAAAATGCTCATAGTAGGGCGATTCTTGTTTGAATACTAAGGAACCACCAGCAAGGAGATAGGGTAGCCGATATGCTGCAACTGCCCCATCAATATTCAGCTGATATTTATACTAAAAATATATTTATGAGTGTAAAGTAAAGCGAAGCTTTTTTTAACATACCCTGAAAAACTCCATAAATGATATGTGAGGCACTCTGGGACCATATTTTTGTTCTTCATTGCGAAAAAAGAAAAAGTTGGTAATAGATGCATTGATCAAGTCTGGAAATTTCCTGGCCAAATCGATTAATTTTAGCCTTTCCCGCCTGGAATCTCGACCGCGAAAAAACCCTATTTCTTCTTTGTTGTCCCATGGAATATCAGTTTGCTGAACTGAGAGCATATCTAACATGACTCGTCCCATGTTCTCCAACGTCGACTCGGTTATATCGTAAGTCGGTAACGTAATGTCATAACTATCATCACTTCCACACCAGGAAAATATGGGATAGGGTCCTGAAGTTCTTTGTTGGCCACCTTTTCTTGAAAGTGGCCAATCACCAAGATTTAAATAAAATTCCATTTCTGGTAACCAAACTACACGAGCAAGCGCTGATAACGTTGCATCCATAAACATCTTAAAGCCAGTATATTTGCCAAAACATTTTCTCCAAATTTGTTGCTGTTTGACTACATAGTGGCATAAAGAAATACTTTCAGGGGCGTTATATCGTTTTAATATATTCTCTCTAATGGCACTAAAGTTTACGCGTTTAAATAAATGCAAATCCCAAGATATCTGTTTTTCTTTTAAAAAATCCGAACATCTATTATTCAATAACCAAATATCTAAGTTCTGAGGGCAGTAGCATCGCTCTGAATATACTTTATTCTGTATATAATACGGAGACTGTGCCACGTGCGAAGAATTGTATTTTACACTAATTTCCACTTGTTCGCAAAAATCCGCAATCGTGTAGCGAACAATAACAGATCCATCTTCGCGGTCAATATAATTTATATTTGATCTGCATTTCCCATCCTTGGAATAGCCATTGATGCTCACTTGAAAATTTATATGTGTCATGGACGTAATTCTGTGAATAATTTATATTAATACTTTTTTGACAATAATTTTGGCTTACAAACTTTTTTCCATTATTGTCGATGGCGTGAATAAAAAAATATCGAGCTGGTAGAACAATATCGTCAGGCTTGAGTCCTGGCCCCCACACCTGTGTTTTTGCAACATCTAGTATTTGGTTTTTACAATTCGATAACAACAAAAAAGTTGAGATTACGCAGTATTGAAGCGAAAACATTTGGTAGTTCATTCGCAAAAGCAAACAAAGAATTTGAGTTAGCGATGTACAATAACCGATGCATCTTTTGGCTAGAGATGTGAGTTGTATCGATAGATTTTAATATTTAGTTCTGCCACCAACCATACAGTATATGCATAGCTAGATGCGCCAGTTCAAACAACGAACAGCTAACACAGAAAACTAAATCCCAGTGTTCGGCTTTGGCGTAACGCTTTGCGTGGGTTAGTATAAAACGCAAAATATATTTTCACAAAAATATGTGATTGTATGTTCTTTCCTTTTTATAGGGTTCTGGGTTTCTGTTTTGCTTCCAGCTTATTTGAATGTAAATATATACGCATTCACTTTCTCTCAAAATATTTAAAGATTAGAAGGGATGAGTTGGGAAGCGGGACACTTGGGCGTGGGAAATAAAATAAAAGCTGTTATTTCTTTGATTTATACTACAAAATACTAAATATTACAATAAAAATTGCACCTTATCCATATTTTAGACTGGTGTTTAATAAATTATACACATATTATGTAAATGCCGTCGGTTCTCGACTTCTTTTTTTATCACATGTAATAAGTGATTTGAACTAAAATGTTATATATTTAAATATACGATCTAAGAAAAAAAATATATGTATTTTCTAAAATAAACATGCATACTTATATTAATATGAAATGAGTTTTACATGTATTTCAAATCAATTGCGCTTTCCGATGGGAATGTGCAAAGAAAATATTTAGATGAGTGTCGCACCTTTAATACTGACATGGACAATTCTTATAATAATTCTACATAATTCAATTTTGAAATATCTTATGAATGTACAAACATATGTACATAAATATATGTTTCTGTTTATTACATTCGTATATTGCATGAGGCTATTCAAAATTACAGTTGTCCTAATGGTAGGTGGCGAGCTTCTTTAAAAAGGGTTAATATTCTCAAAGGCGCTCAATTGTGTGGTATGTACATATGTATGCGCGGAAGACAAGTACACAATTTGAATTTCCCTCTGGTTCGTTGCTTTGATTAAGAGTATATTAATTTCTCCCCCTTTCTGACTATCAGCGAATATTGCACCACTAATGAAAATCAATAACAGCTGATATAAAAATAAAAATAATTATACAGGCATATGTCGATGTTGATTAACCCTTAACAGGCCCGTGGGGTTTAAAATTTCCTACTATAATACAAAGACTTGAAGTTTTTTTTATAGTTTTATTTTTAACAATTTTGAATTTGCAAGCAAACGTTGCTTCTGACTTTGCATGCATATTTTTTTGTTAAGGTTCTTAACTCAAGAATAATGATTAATCCTAAGTTTTATCTAATTACTCAAAAATAATGATTATCTGTGAAGAAAATCGTAAAAAATCAAAAGTTTAATCAGCTCAACAAGTCAGGGCTATCTACGCCATCCTGGATGAAGTAGTGAAAAAAAATCACACAAAGTATTTTTCTGTGACTAACTTAATATGGTAGGTCTATTAAAAGCAACCTGTGATGGTAAGATGGTAGTCTCTCACTTGCATGCCAGCTAAGGCCGCGCAAAGCAAAAAGTTGTTCTGTACTGATTCAATTCGGTCTTGGTATACTTTGGATGAAGGCCCCATACACAAGAGCCGTATTCAAAGATCGGACGAACAAGCGAGGTATAGAGAGTCTTTGTTATATAGGGGTCGTCAAATTCCTCTGATCATCTCTTTATAAACCAAAGCACGCCCATGGCCTTATTTGCAGAAATGTGTTCAGAAAACTTTGGCTTGCCATCTAATATAATAACACAGATCATCCATCAGGAAAGCCATCAAGGGGATAGAACGATGAAATGTCATAACTTTGCATTTTGAGGCATTAACGTGTAACAAGTTTGCAAAACACCATGACTGAAAGTTATTGATATCGAATTGAAAGCGAGAATGAAATGAAATGTCCTTGTACTGGACACAGAGTTTAACATCATCCGCATACATAACTACTCGAGAGTATGTTAATACCGAAGGCAAGTCATTAATAAAGAGTGTGAAGAGTAAGGGGCCTAGGGCCATCTAGAGCCCTGTGGTTTTCCCGAAGAAACCTTTACTGGTGAAGAGAGAGAGTTTTTGAAGAGGACTCTTTTTGAGTCATGAGGTTGGGCAAAACCCTAAAAGGTCAAGTTTATGCGCTAAAAGGGAATGGTTTACAGAGTCGAATGCTTTACTAAAGTCGGTGTAAATAACATCCGTCTGTAAGTTACATTGTTACAAAGCCTTTAATAATGAAAGAGGTAAACTCTAACAAGTTCGTGGTGGTTGATCGCCGCCTTATAAATCCATGCTGAGCTGGAGATATAAGTGACTTGCAGAGATGTTGCAAGTGCGGAGTTAAAACCTTCTCAAACATTTTGGGAATAGCGGATAACTTTGCTATACCTCTATAATTTTTTGCGTCGGACTTTCTACCGTTTTTATGTACAGGAATTATAAACGATTCCTTCCAGATCGGGAGGAAGTAAGGAGAATCGATGGATAGGGTGAATAGTGTAAACAATGGTCCACAAAGAGCCTCGGCGCAGTACCTGAGTACACGACCTGGAACCCCGTCTGGAACCGGTGAAAACACCGGCTTAACTAGTCGTATATCATTAAGAAGGGAACATTTATTTAACAAGGGACTGAAAATGCCGTTCGACCTCGGTACACCGTATGGATACGGAAGACAAGAGTAGCTTTCCTCAGAATAGGTGGTTTGGAAAAATTGGGCAAAAAGATCGGCAATTGCCTGATCATTATTTGCCGACGTATTACAAAATGATAGCGAGGATGGGTGTGCGGACGTTCTACGCTTACTGTTTACGAAGCAGTAAAATTGTTTATGGTTCTGAAAAAAACTCGGCTTTACGGAAGCAGCGGACACATTCAGGTAGCTTACTCGACCGAGCCAATACAGTTGGTTCTATATCTAGCAACACTTCGAAAGGAGGATGGTAGGCGGTATAGGGAGTGGAAGGGCTCGAGTTCAGAATGCTCTGGCCAAAATTTAACAGAGCAAATGGTGTCAAAATGATATGGGGAGACACTTATCTAATAATCCTATTTTATATGAAGACCATGCAGTTACTCTGGAGATAACCTTTAGCAGCAGTTTGTCATGGAATAAACATATCTCAAAGGCAACTGGACGTACATATGATCTGTTACGCTAGTTTTCTAAGAATAAATCTTTTTTTTGCTGGAAGAAATAAGACTATGCATTTCTAAAGACATTCTCATCCCCACCATCATTTATGGTGTAGAAATTGTTGGTAATTGTGCCGGTCGAGACAGACGGTCAAGCACGGTGCATGTTGGGGAGAGTGTCAGGCCATGAGATGCACGAGGGAAACGAAATGAAAGAAAGGTGGAAATAGGCAATTAATCGGTTCCCTATCGTTCTGAGGGCTCAAAACAGGACATAGTTCGGGATATACGATTCAAAGGCAAAACAATTAAATTCTCATCCCGGAAAAGAATCTCACCTAAGATATAACCTCAATTAATGTTAACTAGTAATGATTTATTTCTTTAGATTCTACTAAATAAAGCAGAGATATCGGAACACATGCTTTGTGAACGCCATATAATGTCGACGAGAGCGACCTAGCAACATTGATTTCGGGGAGGAGCTGGAGTCCCCCGACAGCGACCTGGAAACAACTATGGTGGAGGTGAGCCTCAGGAATGTCGCTGATACTCCTGCACCATTGTAAGGCAGCATGCGCTGCTCTACGGCACCATCTAGCCAAGGGTGCTAGATCACTGCTAGTGCAGAAGCATTGATACAAACGAAAGGGTACCTCTACAGTTACTTACTGACCACTCAGATGGTCTTATTCAGCCAGGGGTGATCCTACCTTTATTATTAAAAACTGCAAGGAGGTCTTGGACCTCACGCTTGCCTCTCATGAGATACAATGGAAAATTGTATCCTGGAGGGTCCTGAAAGAACACTACTTCTCAGACCATAGGTACGTGGAAACTGTATTTTTTTAAATTACTTAAACCAGTTCAATTCCGGAACCTTAGGCGGACAAACTGGACTCGGTACTTGTTTAGAAATGAGACTCGTAGTTTTTATTTCAATGTTCATGTATATTACAACTGCCCTATTCATACGCTCATGTGTGTATTGCACCGCTTAGGTAACGATTTTAACGCGCATAGCTGTGTTGTTATTGCTCGTGTCCAAAACATAGCTCTAATGTTCTCACACGTACAGCTAAAGCCCGCAGCTGCACACGAATACAACGATGTGTACCTTTTTGCATTGGACCGTCGCATCGCCTGATCTTTCAATTCTCTTTTGGCTCGACTTCTATTGTGGAGCGGAAGTTAGTCGAAATCTCTGGATGAAACCAACCGCACGCAAAGTTTATACCGCCGCATCATAGAAAACCCCCTCCATTCATATACATGTGTAACATAACCACACATATTTAATAACCAATATATGAAAATAAACAAGCTCAATATATTAAAAGATTATACAGTCCACTAATTCATAACCATAGCAAAATTTGGTCCTTCGAGCCGGATTTCCGCGTTTGAGTTTATTTTATATACATATTGAGTGATATCGTTAACCGCTGTTCGCCATGAAGGCCCTAGTGCATCGTCTAATCCAGCAAGGTGGTGTGTGCAATTCCCAACTAACTCGCGTAGCTACGGAGGCTCAATAGTTTGTACAGTCATGTACTTCTGTGCAAACATTAGAGCACAAGTTGGACCGACTGGTTGCAACTTTCAACCGCTTTATGGAGCTCTCTGAAGAGCTGGTCCAATCTAATGATGAAGATGAATACGTGGATCCAGATTTGGATATCCCCGAATATGAGAAACGGTTCTTTAGTGCGCATATTATTTTCACTGAAGCCATACGTGACCGGAGCAGTCACGATAATGAGCACGACAACTCAAATCTACTGCTATCGAACACTGTGGAACGCTTGTTTGAGGAACAAACTCAACTTCTGGAGAGGATTCGGGAC